TGGTCTTTTTGAAACAGGGTCTCCCTGTAGCCCCAGCTGTCCTGGAACTCACTATGTAGACCAGGCTGGCCTCAAACTCACAGAGATCCGCCTGCCTCTGCTTCCTGAGTGCTGGGATTAAAGGCATGCGCCACCACGCCCGGCAATAAACAAAATTTTTAAGTTAAAAAAAGAAAAAAGAGCCTATGTCAGCCTCACCAGCTCTTGACCTTGCTGACAGACTGTTCCTTCTACAGCCCTGGCCTCCTCTACCTGGTACTACAACTTGTTGGGACCACCCCAACTTCCACTACACCCTGGCCTGAGGCTTTTCAGCTCAAAAATTCTGCAGCTGGAGTTGCCATGCGTACAGCCCCTAGGTTGTAGGGTGAGGGTAGAAGTCTGTCCTGAAGACCTCCTGGTCATGAGGCACTGGGCACAGCTGCTCAGCTCAGCTTTGGCCCTTCAAGTCTTACCTACCCAAGGTGCAGGAGGACCAGCTCAGGGCAGCTAAATCCTCAGCTCAAATGCTGCACCCCTTAGCATACATTTGCAGCAGACACATGGAGCACCTACTTGGAGAAAATGACCATGAGCTTCCTCCGGCTCCTTCTTGGTTCTGAGTCCTCATCAAACCCATCCATGTCCTTCCCCAGGAAAACCTCCTGGTGGAAGTCCTTGTTGAGGTGTCCATCCATCTCCAGTTTCACCCCATTCAGGTGGTCTGGGGGTAGGATCTCGTTCTCCTCTTTGTTGGCTGCTCTTTCTCGAGTAGATGAGTGGTTGGCGGGTCTAGCAGATGCATCCATCAGAAGAACGAGACCCAGGAGCCAAAAACCACGAGCAGCCAGACCACAAAGGGAACCCTGCTTGGATGTCATTGCCACCAACCAGACCATAGGACTCTTCCAAGGTGTGGACCAGAAGAAGCTGGAGTCAGGGTAGCAGCAAGGAAGGGAGATCACAGCTCAAACCAGAACCCCAAATACTGCAAGGTCCTGAGTCTCCAGCACTGCCAAGAAAACTGAAGGCTAATGGCAGGCTCCAGCCCAGCAAGCAAGCAGGTTACCAGTCTACAAAGGAAACAGACGCTCACTGTTTAGTGGAACCCAACAAACGCCTGACTAAACACATTCATTTTATAACATGATTTATAAGATCAAGACCACAAATTCAGGGACTGAGGCTGTAGCTCAGAGGTAGAACACTTGCCTGGCATGTTCAAGTCCTAGGGGGTTGATCTCCAACACCTTAGGAAAAAAGTTGAAGACAAAAAGAAAAAAAAGACGACATTTTTACTTTTTTTTTTTTTTTTGAGACAGGGTTTCCCTGTAGCCCCAAGCTGGCCTGGAACTCACTATGTAGACCAGGCTGGCCTCGAACACCCAATTGGAGGGACTAAAGGCGTGCACCACCACACCTGGTGTTTTACCTTTTTTTTTAGTGTTTTTGAGACAGGGTCTCCCTGTAGCCCAAGCTGTCCTGGAACTCACTATGGAGACCAGGCTGGCCTTGAACTCACAGAGATCCACCTGCCTCTGCCTCCCAAGTGCTGGGACTACAGGCATGCGCCACCACGCCCGGCTTGTGTCTTACCTTTTTTAAAGACACTGGGTTTCCAGTTCCAGCTCAAAGTTGTCACCACTTTGAGATGCTGATATGCCTCTTCCCTTTCACCCCCAAACCCACAGCACAGCCTGCCAGCAAAGTAAATCTGACCCTATCTCTCTCCCACATTACTATTACAGTTCTTAGCATATGGCTATGGTCACTCACTCTCCAGATAACAACCTGAGCACTTGTAAGTTCTGCAACCTTGGTTAAGCCACCTGACCTTCCTGGTCAGTCTTTCTCACTAAGCACCCCCCCTTCCACCTAGGAGTTTTGTGAGGACTGAGGACCAGTACTAGACAGCTGAAAATAGCAGTCACTAGCAAACACTTGTACCATTAAAGCAGACACCACAGAGAAACAACTACACTTATTTGTATCCACACCAATATACACCTTCACCATATTCACTGAAGAACACCAGGAAGGCTGGAGTGCCCAGGAGTCTATTCCCGCACAGAAGATGGAAGGCACACTTATTCTCACAGTCTGTTCTCCTGCCAAACACCTGCCTGCCTTCCAGGTACAGCTGGGTGTCACCTTGTCCTGTAGCTGTCTACCATTCTGCCCCAAACAAGGACTCTGTTTCACTCGGCTTCATCCCAACACTCCCAGGCTATTCAGTACAAAGCAGATACTCAACAAATACTTCTTCCAGGGACATTAAACATCAGAAGTGCTACTCAAAAACACAAAGTAAGGCCTGCAGATTTGACCTTTAGATGTGCCCTGGAAGTACAGTGCCAGGAGTCAGGAGTTAAAAGACTCTGCTGTCATCTAGGGAGGGGAAGCACTAGGATATGGCTCTCTTCCTGCTGTCTCTGCTCTTCTGACCACAGAGAACACTGGAACCAAGATAACCCCATTCACTGCCTTGGTTAGAATATGTGCTATCTACAAACCAAAGTACTTAGCTCCTTGAGATAACAAAGTCAATTCTCAGCCCTACTTACCTTGACAAACTATGTGGAACACATCTTACATAAAAAACAACTCAAAAAGAACTACAATACCAGGAGTCCACCAACTGAAACCTCTTATCTAGTCACAGTTTTCCCCTCAATAGTTATTTATCTTAATGTGAAAATTAACAGAATGGCTGAAAAAGTTAGGCAGCTGCTCTCTTCCTCCTCATCTGCCTGTGCCTCCAGGCCAGGATTTCAAGGAAGAGGGACTATACCTTGTCATAGCCCTTAGCCACATCAGTTCCCAACAAGCAGTCAATAGGAAGGCTACTAACACCTTCAGTGGAGGTCTGAATGGTACCCTTTACCTGTCATCACAGTTAAGTCTCGACTGTTCTTTCATTAGTAGCTGTTAATCTCTGCCTCAGTCTAATTTATAAGCTACACTTTGCTGCATCTATTTGTAGGAATAAAGGGTATACACAGGGCTCAGTACCACCTGAGGTTTCAGGTACCCACAGGTGATTGGGAGGTACCTGTACTACTTTGCCATCCTTACATTTCTATTCTGGTGACTCCAGACTATTTCCTTCTGTTTTTAATTATTTTGAGACAGGGTCTCACTCTATAGACCTGGCCAGCTGGGAACTTGACACGTAGACCAGACTGACCTTGATTCTGTGGCAATCCTTCTGTCTGCTAAGATTACAGACAAGAGAATCAAGAATTCAAGGCCAGTGAATTCAAGGCCAAGGTACATAAGACCCTGTCTCAAAACTAACAAAAACTGACAGTCTGATCTACATAGCAAGTTCCAGGCCAGCTGGGGCTACAGGGCGACCCTGTCTCAAAAAAAAAAACAAAAAAAAAAAAAACAAAAACAAACAAGCCTAACAACACCACAATCAAAAAACAGTCTAAAACAGTCCAAAAGCTGCTGAGGGGCTGGTGATGTGGCCCAGAAGTAGGGCATTTGCCTAACATGCGTGAAGTCCTAAGTTAGATCTGTAGCACCACAAAAATAAGTAAATAAAAATAAACGCAAGCTATTAATTTAGGAACTGCACTAATGGTACCAAAGACCAGGGCCGAGCCAGGAACGTGGAACACGCCTTCAAGTTTCCAACTCCTACTTCTAGTACTCATGGCGCACATTTTGCCGAGGCAGAGAAGCTGAACAACGAATTCAAGGTCTCAATGCCAGCTGTTAACAGCGCCCCAGGGCCTCAAGTTCCCTGGGGCAGGAGAAGCCAGGCAAAGGAGCGAGGACACATCCACCGGGACCACCGGCTGGGGTCACGCAGCGCTCAGGCCCACCGCAGCCCAGAGGCGGAAGCGCCGGCACTCGAGTCCGCCCCTCGCAAAGCAGCCGCTGGGACCCGGACTACTGCGTGGGGCGGCTGGCGGGGTACTCACCAGCTTTCTACAGCACCGGGTTGGGGAGCGCAGCGGAGCCCCCACCAAATCGCAAGCGGACCTTGGCTCAGGCCGCCGCCATCTTTCTTCCGGGAAGGGGCGGGTAAGACAGCTGGGAATTATACGAGCGAGCGCAGCCGCAGGAGCGGGTCTCGGCGTTGCCATCTTTCTGCCGGGCGGAAGCAGCGGCTCAGAGTGGACCAATGAAAATGGCGTTCTAGGTCATGTGTCGCTCGTCCCCGCCCCAACCCTAATCGCCGTTGCCGCCAGTGCTGTCAACGAGGGAGTGGGAACGCCGAGGGACTTGGTGCCTCGGGGCTCCTCCCACCACTACCTACGCGCGTTCCTCCGTCGCGCAGGCGCCTTCCGGCCATTACGCCTGCGTACTCGGCGCCCTCCCGCCCGTGCCATGAAGGTTTTGCGGCGCGCTTGGCGGCGCCGAGTGGCGCTGGGCCTGGGTGGCCTAGCGTTCTGCAGCGCCGCGCTGCTGTACCTAGCGCGCTGTGCATCCGAAGGCGACACGTTCGCCGCCGCTGCAGCCGCTCAGCCCCGCGCCCAGGCCTTCCTGGCAGTGCTAGTAGCCAGTGCGCCGCGCGCCGGTGAGCGCCGTAGCGCAGTGCGAAGCACGTGGCTGGCAAAGGGGCGGCGCGGCGGCCCCAGCGACGTGTGGGCGCGTTTCGCCGTGGGCATGAGCGGCCTGGAGCTGCAGGAGCGGCGCGCGCTGGAGCGCGAGCAGGCACAGCACGGTGACCTGCTGTTGCTGCCCGCCCTTCGCGACGCCTACGAGAACCTCACGGCCAAGGTCCTGGCCATGCTGACCTGGCTGGACGAACACGTGGACTTCGAGTTCGTGCTCAAGGCGGATGACGACTCTTTCGTGCGCCTAGACGCTCTCCTGGCCGAGCTGCGCGCCCGGGAGCCCGCGCGTCGCCGCCGCCTCTATTGGGGCTTTTTCTCTGGGCGGGGACGCGTCAAGCCCGGAGGTCGCTGGCGAGAGGCTGCCTGGCAACTCTGCGACTACTACCTGCCCTATGCGCTGGGCGGTGGGTACGTGCTCTCCTCGGACCTGGTGCACTACCTGCGTCTCAGCCGCGAGTACCTGCGTGCGTGGCATAGTGAGGACGTGTCGTTGGGCGCCTGGCTGGCACCGGTGGATGTGCAGCGCGAGCACGACCCACGCTTCGACACCGAGTACAAATCTCGCGGCTGCAGCAACCAGTACCTGGTGACGCACAAGCAGAGCCCGGAGGACATGCTGGAGAAGCAGCAGATGCTGCTGCGAGAGGGCCGGTTGTGCAAGCGGGAAGTGCAACTGCGCCTCTCCTATGTTTATGACTGGTCGGCACCACCTTCACAGTGCTGCCAGCGAAAGGAGGGCATCCCTTGATGTCATTGCAGACGTTGTAGCCTCTCTCAGCATGGGAAAATCTAGTCGATGGTCTGGTGTGAGCTCAGCCTTCCAAGGGAACCTCATTTATCTAGTTATTGTCGAAAAATTGATGGCCACTGGCAGCTTACAATATCCAGCCCAGCTCCCAGCAGTTCACCTGCCTAGGGTGTGCACATTAGTGGTCCCATATAAGGCCTGCCCAATGGCATCTGGCTGTGGGGTTGGACACTTCATCCCAACTCCCACCCAGTGCAGTGCCACTATCAGCCAGTTGGAGTATGAGGCCAGGGCACTTCTCCAACATGGGGAGCCTGCAGCTTCCCCAGTCTGCCCCTACTTGCACTGTACAGCTCACTGCCCATCTTGAATGCCCTGCACAGCACTCTCCATAGACTGACCTGCACTGTATGTTGAACTCAGCTGTGTATTACCCTCCAAATATCATTTGCCAAAATTAATGTATTGTTTGGACAGGTTACATTCCATTGTGTCTCCTGTCTATCCTTCCTCATGTGTAAGTCTAAGATTTGAGTTGGTTTCAGGTCAGCTAGCTTTGATGGTATTTTTGTCTCTGTGGATAGAGTTTGATAAATATAATTCCGTTTGCCTGGGCCTATTTATAGCTATTGTAAACTTGTGTAGATAAGATTTTAAGTTGAGCATGTGCAAGTCTCAATATTTTTTTTTAATTATTTAAGAAAAGACTTTTGTATCAGAACTTGGAGTCTGTGGATTAATCTGTCAACAGCTTGAGTGGTCAACCCCACTGCTGGGTGTGTTTAAACATGTAAGAATGTTTAAACTGTCCATTTCTCTTTTAGGTTTACACATAAGTCAGTCTTTGTCTCTTTCTGAACAGAGTTTCCTTTTAAGGCTTCCACAGAGGCCCTCAGATTCTCTGTTTCTCAGACTCAGACCAAATTCCAGGAATCCAAACCCTTGAAGTATTGAGACTTACCAGATTCTGTCTTAAGGAAACAGTACTTGCTACCTAGCTCACACAACCTTAACATGGTTAATAGTGCTCACACAAACCTTAACACGGTTAATAGTGCTCCCCCTGCCCCCTCCCCATACGTACTCTTAATGTGGAAAGCAAATGCTGTGCTTGAAGAAACAGAATAAGGGTTCCAGGGTCCGTAGACATCCTGAGCTGCCTTGATTTCAGCTCTGGATGGTGTTGCAGTGTCTCTGTTTTAATGGGACTGGTTTGGTTTTTGAGACAGGGTCTAGCTATATATCCCAGACTGGCCTTGAACTCAATCCTGCTTCTTCATCTGAGTGCTGAGATTACAGGCATATATGCCACCCAGCCCAACTTGGATCAAGACTTTTTGTCTGGGTGGCCTGGGCACATTGCTGCCTGGCCTCTGCTGTCTTACTTTGGAATACTGTGGATGGAGAAGGATATGCTCTGACTACCTGTCTTCACCTTAAGTTCACCGACCGGGCACTGGCAAATTTGGCGTTTTCCTCTTTATTTTTTTAAATTTTATGTGTATGCATATGCTGTCTGCATGTAGGTAAGTGCACCTGTGTCCTGCAATGTACGAGGAGGACAGAAGCTGTCAGATCCCCTGGAACTGGAGTTATGGACAGTTGTTAGCTGCCATGTGGGTGCTGGGATTCAAACCTGGGTCTTCTGCAAGAACAGCCAGTGTTCTTAACTGCTGAGCCATCTCTCCAGCCCTATGTTTTTATTTTTTTTTTAAAGGCAGGATCTCACTAGGTAACCCTAGCTAGGCCTGGAACTTGCTGTGTAGACTAGGCTGTTGTCCTCATACTCACATATATCCCTCTGCCTCTTCCTCCTGAGTGCTGGGATTAAAGGCATATATCACCACACCCAGCTGGGTCATTTTCTTTAAAGGTAGAATATCCAGAACTGAAGTGTGAAACCCTGGATCTAAAAGGAGGATCTTGTCAATGACTGTGATTCTGCTTTTAGAGTGTGAGGTGGGACAAGACAAGGCCTGAATCACATAAGGGTCAGATTAGGAGACACAGTATACATTCTACTGGACCCCTGAAGACAGAATAGGCTGGCCTGTGTATATACTGTTTCTGGAATAGGATATGTGTGATTCAGTTGGACTTAAAGGGGCTACCCCCTACCCTCTTCAGGACTGGTGGCTTCCCAAGGATGTTGATGCTGATTATTTTCACCTGGGATGGCTCATGTGAACCTCAGAATTGCTTGAAGAATGGGTATGTCTCTTCTTCAGATGAAGAAATGATCTTGAAGAGACTGGACAACATAGAAGACCATGTAGCCATGAGCAGAGCCAGGACTCAAGCCAAGGGCTCCAGGTGACTGCACAGAAAACATGACATGCCAGAATACCTCTGGGAGAGTCTATAAACCCTTCCCTTATGGGGCTGGTTCAGTCAGTAAACTGCTTGCCATATAAGCATAAGAATCTGAATTCAGGGGCTGGAGAGATGGCTCAGTGGTTAAGAACACTGATTGTTCTTGGAGAAGACCTGGGTTCGAATCCCAGCACCCACATCTAACAACTGTCCATAGCTCCAGTTCCAGGGGATCCAACAGCCTCTTTTGTCCTCCGCAGGCATTGCACGACACAGGTGCACTTAACCTACGTGCAGCAATACATGCATACACATAAAGAAAAAAAAATCTGAGTACAGTCCCCTACACCCATGGACCCATGTAGAAAGCCAGGTGTACAATAGGTTTGTAATCCTAGCACAGGGGAGGCAGAGACAAACAGGTCCTATCGGTGAGCCCCAGGTACCAGTGAAAGACCCTGTCTCAGGAAAAAAAAAAAAAAAAAAAGAAAGCAAAAAACAAAAGGGGGAGTAATTCCTGAAGAACAGCATCCAAGTCAAGGTTACACACACATAAACACACACACAATCTACACTTGGGTTTCCTAACTGTCCATGGTGTTATATGACACTACTCAGGAGATGTGAACAAACATCTACTCCCACCCCCCTCCAGACAGGGAACCAAAACAGACCAAAGGAAGGATAGCATCAAAATCCAATTGATGGACCAGCGAGTCTATTGGGGTTATTTGCAGGAACAAAACTGACTGAAAGACAGTTGCTTCACCAAAACCCCACCCCACCATGGGTGATGGCTCACAAAAGGTGGAAACTTTGAGTGCATTGCACAATTTGCAGGCCTCAGCAAGTTGGAGAGTGTCTCTTTCCAGGCAGCTTAGCTAGTCTCTGCCCCTTCCAGGTCATCTGAGAGTCTCTCAGCAGTCTTTATGGGATATATATGCCTGCCTGTGAAGGAGGGGCCTAGGGAATCTGATCAGTTTCAGGGACTTTCTGAGCTTTTGAGTTGTTTACTTCCTGAGTTTGCAGGATGGAATGTTGCCCCACCCTTTAGAATATCCTGCATCTCGGGCTGGAGAGGTGCTCAGTGGTTAAGAGCACTGTTCTTAGAATCCAAGCACCCAGATGGTGGTTTAGTAACCATCTGAAACTCCAGTTCCAGGGGATCCAATGCCTTCTGTCCTCCACGTGGGTGCACGACATGGGTACATGCATGCAATACACTCACATGTAAAATTAAAAATAAAAAAAATTTTTAAAGAATATCCTACATCTTTTTTTTTTTTTTTTTTGGTCTTTTTGAGACAGGGTCTCCCTGTATCCCCAGCTGTCATGGAACTCACTGTGTAGACCAGGCTGGCCTTGAACTCACAGAGATCCACCTGCCTCTGCCTCCCGGAGTGCTGGGATTAAAGGCGTGCACCACCACGCCCGGCTCCTACATCTCTTTAAAAAAAAAAACTTTGTTATATTATTTTATGTGTATGCATGTATTGCCTGCATGTAGGTAAGAGCACCCATGTTGTATAATGCCCACAGAAGAGAGAAGAGGCTGTCGAATCCTCTGAAACTGGAGTTACGGACAGTTGTTAGCTGCCATGTGGGTGCTGGGATTCAAATCCGGGTCTTCTGCAAGAACAGTCAGTGTTCTTAACTGCTAAGCCATCTCCCCAGCCCCCACATCTCTTTTTTTTTTAATTAAAAATTTTCTATTAGCATTACTTTGTATAGGACTCACATTATAGCAACAGTGGCAAATTTCACATTATTGTTGAAGCTTGGTAGTATAATCTTGTCAGTAATAATACCCCAAAATTATAGTAGGCATATACAATTAAATATTTTAGTTTGAGAATTATATCAGTCTAGTTATTATAATACTTTCTTTTTCTTAACTTTCCAAACTGATCTTTTTCTCTAGAAGTTCAATTAGTTTCCATTTTCAGTAGGGGATAGTTGAAGGCACATTGGGACTGTAGAGGAGTAATGGAAAATTAATGGCAAACCTCTTGGTGCCTGGGAGTGGGAGAGGCCCAACATCAAGGTCTGGATGTCCAGGACCACATGTGGATTCAAGACCACTGCTGGCCCTCAGGGGAGGTGTGAAGTCCATTCTAGAGAATCAGTCCTACCAAGACCAGAATCTACAAGTGACAGAGACCGTCCCTGTCCCCAGCATAAGCCCAACCCAGGCAAAGCCATTGCCATGCACAACCCCAGATATCAGGGGAGGGAACCGTAGGGAATGTGGCCACTCAGAAGACAAACTGCTGCCCAACATCAGGACGTCTTTCATCCTCCACTCTGCTCCACCATCAGCCCACCACCAAAAGAATGTGGAACTGTGGCTCGAAATAGGGGACCAAAGGTCCAGGCTCATGTGAGGGGACCCACAGCTCCAGATCATGGGAGGAAACCATAGTTCCAGCTTACAAGAGGGGACCACAGTTCTAACTCATGGGAAGGGATCATAGCTCCTGCTCATGGGAGGGAACTGCAGCTCAGGGCTCACAGGAGGGGACCACAGCTCCAGCTCATGGAGACCACAACTCCAGCTCACAGGAGGTAATATTATTTTTATTTATGTTTATATGTATGAGTGTTTTGGCTGCATGTATGTAAGTACACCATGTGCATACAAACCCATGGAGACCAGAAGAGGGCATCAGATCCCCTGGAAGTGGAGTTACAAATGCTTGTTGTTAACTGCCAGTTAAGAGCAACCAGTGCTCATAACTGTTAAGCCATCTCTCTAGACTGCCAGCCTCTTTTTTGGGGGGGAGGGTTGTGCTGGATAGTTTTAGTGTCAACTTGACACACCTGGGTTGAGGGAGCCTCAATTGGGGAATTGCCTCTATTGGACTGGACTGTGGCCATGTCTGAGGGGCATCTTCTTGATGAGTGATATAGGAGGGCCCAGCCCACTGTGGGTGGTGCCACCCCTGGGCAAGTGGGCCTGTGTTGCATAAGAAAGCAGCCTGAGCAGGGGCTGGGGGAGCAAGCCTGTAAGCGGCGTTCCTCCATGGCCTGTGCTCCAGCTCCTGCCTCCAGGTTCCTGCCCTGAGTTCCTACCTTGGACTCCCTGATGAACTGTGAC